CCGTGTGCCCCCCTGCCGCGGTCCCCGGGTCTCCCGGATCCCTGTGTTATCGCCGATTTCCGTGTCCCCCGGTGTCGGTTTCCATGTCCACCCGGGCCAGTCCTTGTACCCCCCTGCCTCGCTGCTCATGTCCCGCTCGGTTACCGTGTTCCCCCACTGTCGATCCTGTGTCACCCCGAAGCCCGTATCCCCCTGGAGCCTGTCCCTGTGTCGCCCCCGGTCCACATGTCCCCTTGTTCCCTGTGTCTCTCCCATTCCCAGTCCCCGTGTCCCCCCGGTGTCCCAGGATCACGGCAGGACACGGTGCTGGTGCAGCGGCTTTAATAGCGGGTCCTGCCCGCGGGGGGCCCTGCGCCTCCTCCATCTCTTCCTCCTCCTCCTGCTGCTGCTCGTGGTCGCCCCGGGCCGGGTGCGGGGTCCCGGCTCCCCGGGGGCGCGGGTCCCGCCTAGTCCTGCGGGAGGCCGGGGGTGAGCGGCGCGGCGGGGCCGGTGCGACCCGGCCGGGGGTCCTGGGTCCCCCTCCCGCACTCACCCACTCGTCCTCGTCCACGCCCTCGAAGGAGTCCTGGGGCAGCGGGTCGTCCCTGTTGCCCAGCCGGGCCACCATGGCACTGAGGAGCTGTGGGGAGAGGCCGGGCAGAGCCGTGGGGCACAGAGCATCGCCTCCAGACCTGGCGCAGGGTGCTCAGCCCAGAACTCACCTCCTCCTTCTTCTGCTCGTCGGTCTTCTCCTCCAGGTACACAGACGCAGGGACGAACTTCCGAGCGGGAGCCTCTTTGGGGGCCTCGCTCACTGTGGCAGTGGTGTCACCACGGGGCAGGAGGACTCTACCCCATTGACTAAAGCCACCCCAGCCACCCCTGAGGGCCGCGGGTCCTCGCCCAGCCCCTGCACCCACCTGGCAGCATGTCTGCGGGGCGCAGGCTGGCGCGGCGCTGCTGCCCGTCCTGCCCGTCCAGCCACGCACCGGCAGCCAGGGCCGGCTCCCACCACACGCGGGTCGGCGGGTAGAGATCGTCCTGGAAATACTCCTTCTGTGGGGGCAAGGGTGCTCAGGGGGTGCCCTGCCTCCTTCCCCTCCCCAGACACGGCCAGCCCCCCTCGCCTCCTACCTTGACGCGTGGCACGTGGAAAGCCACGGGCTCCAGGGTGCTCTGCCCCAGGCGCAGCGCCCGGGCAAACTCCACCTCCCGCACCTCGCACGCCGTTTTGGGCAGGAAGACGAAGCCCTGGTGGGGTGGGGGTGTGAGTGGGGCCTGGCAGCACAGGTAGGGGCCCAGGGACAGGCAGCGTATCCCCCCTTTACCTTGTGGGGCTCATTGGAGGTGAAGCTGTTGCACTCGAGGAAATAGGGGGGCTCGGGGGTCACTTCATAGAGGAAGACTCTGGTGTCACCCTGGGGATGGAGCGAGATGGGGGCTGTCAGGGGACATGGAGGGTCCCTCTACACTGTGGGGTGCTGTAGGCAGGGAGCCCCACTGTTTTTTGGAGGGCAAGCCCTCACCTTGCCGGTGAGGAAGACGACGCTGGTATCCTCATCGTAAAAGGGCAGGAGGGTGGAAGGGGCCACGTCCAGACCAAGGACAGACAAGGGTCCTTCAGACAGGGCCTGTGCCCGGTACAGGAGGATCCTCCTCTCGCTGCGGCTGTGGGGAGGTGACAGTGAGAGCAAGCAGCGTCCTCGGGGACCCCTGCCCTGGTGTGTGTCCCCCTCTTTACCTGTCAAAGCCGGACACCAGGAGGAAGTCACCACCACAAACCCAAACCAGGCGTGCTCCGCGTCCCCCCTCAGGACCTGGGCCCTCCTGCATGGGGTGAAGGTCACCCTGCCTGCTCCGAGAGAGCTGGGGGTGCAGTCATGTGCCCACAGGGAGGGTTTCCTGCCCACACCCCCAGCTCTCCAGTCTGTCCCCCATGCTGGGATTGTACCTGTTGAGGCTGAGAGCTGCGCCGTGGCTCGTAGAGCCGTATCCGTCCGTCTTTGCTCACCGTTGCCAGCTTCTTCCCATCCGGGCTCCAAGCCATGCTGAAAATCTGGAGAGACAGACGTTGTGCAAAAGTCCCAAAGTTGCCTCTCAGGTGTCCCTGGATTTGTCATCCCTTACCTGATCCGTGTGTCCCCGCAGGCACAGGACTTCCCGCCCGGCGCTGAGCTCCCAGATCCGCACGGTCATGTCGTAGGAGGAGGAGACCAGGAGATCGGATGCCATGGGGTGGAAGCGGATGGAGTAGATCTTTTCCGTGTGACCTGGTGAGGTTCAGTAGTGCGTGGTTGTCCCCAGCTGTGGGTGCCACCAGGCTGCTTTGTCCCCACTTTGGGGTGCTCAACAGGCCCCTCACCTCGGAGAACGGCTTCAGGCTCCTGCAGGGTCTCCCGCAGCCCTCCCTCAGGGATCCGCCACAGCCGGATCCTGGCGTCCTCACCCGCTGTGCCAGAAGGGACGGGCAGTTGTTAATGGGGTGATCTGGAGTCCCTGGAACCGGGGGACTCTCCGGGCACACCCGGGCAGGGCTGGCACGCACGTACCGACAGCGAGGCGCCGTGGGTCGAAGGGGTCCCAGGTGAGGTCGGCCACCGCGGCGCCGTTCTGGATGGTGGGCACGGCCGCGTCGGGGAGGCGGCCGGGCTTGGAGAGCTGCGGGCGAGAGCCGGGGGTCACTAGCACGGCACACCCGGCGCCGCGCCGGCCTCCACACCTCCCCGGGGTACCTCGAGCACGGCGATCTGGCCGCCGGCGGAGAGCAGGGGCAGGGCGACGCGCTGCTGGTTGGCGCAGAAGCCGTCGCACTCGCCCGGCGTGGTGAGGCTGAGCCCGCGCAGGTTGGTGAGGTGCTGGTCCCGGTGCAGCGCCCGGCCCTGCGCGTGCCGGAAGCGGGAGCTGGGCCCTGCAGCGGGCGAGGGCCGGGTGAGCGCCCCGAGCCCCACAGCGGGGCACCCCGAGCCCGCCCCGCTGCCCGCTCACCCAAAAGGCTCTGCAGGGACTTCTGGCTGGGGCTGCTGGCAAAGCCACTGGAGGGGCCGGTGCTGGCGGAGAGCGAGGTGGCTGCGCTGCCTGGCGAGGCCAGTGAGGATGGTGAGGAGTAGCCACTGGCTTCCTAGGGGAGAGAAAGACCAGACAGGGGGTGCTGGCACCCTCGCCTTGTCTTGTAGGATGAGGGCAGCAGGGACCCCACCCCTTCAGCGTTCAGCGCACTTTTCCAGCGCCCCATGCTCACACTCTGGTCTGCGTCGGTGTGGCCAGTGTCGGTGTCGGTGTGGCCAGCGTTGGTGGGGCCGGTGCCAGCAATGATGGGGGATGTGAAGGTCTCTGTGGGTCTCCGTGCAGGGTGCAGGCTGACTCTCCCCACCTGCACCGAGCACAGCGGTGAGCATGGGGCAGTGGCAATGCCACCAGCAAGGACACACCCCCCGGATGACACTGACCTGCTGGCTGTCCCCTGCCCACCAGCCTTGGGCATCGGTGGCTGGCAGCATCCCTGTGCAGTCAGGGAACAGATCCTCGTGGAACTCCTGGACAGACTGGGGGAGAGGGGGTGGGGTGAGACAGATGTTCTCAAAATCCCACAGCCTCTGTCCTGCTGTAGCTGGGGCACCTCTGGGCACCCCTAGACACTTTCACACCCAGACCCCACTACCCAGAACCCAGATTTCCTGGCTGAAGTGCCCAACACCCATTGCACAACAGCACCCAGCAGGTGGCACCCAGCTGTCAGCATCCACTCTCCAGCACCCCAATCCTGCACGCAGCGCCCAGCTCCCCAAATCCAGCACCCAGACTCTGCAACCCACCACCACCATCAATGTTTGACCTCCACTCCTTCTCTCCCCAGGCTGGGGACTGGGCTCTCACCACAGCCAGGTCCTTTTTGCCACCCAGTGCTGGTGAGGTGGCACCCATGAGATGACAGCAGGCACTGACGCCCACAGGGTCCCCTTACCTTGCGTGGCACCAGGTAGCTGACGGGGACGAGGGCGGTGTCAGTGAGCTGCAGGACACGGAGCACCTCGCAGGCCATGACATCCAGGGCCAGGCGTGGCACGGCTGCCAGGCCCCGCGTGCTGCCCTCTGTCCGGCACTGGGTCACTGCGGGACAGGCAGGGTGGCCGTGCTGTGGGTGGCCAGGCAGTGGTGAGTCCCCCAGGGGAGATATGGGTGGGATGGGACCTGCTTACCCTGGGTCAGTGCTGGCTGTGTGGGGGCTACCTCAAAGCAGTACAGGAGGTTTTCTCCCTGGAAAAGAGGTGGTAAGGACAGGGAATGAGCAGGGCTGTAGGAAGCACCCCACTGCACCCACATGCAACCTCCTGTACTCCACTGGTGCACCCACATGTACCAAGCTGCACCTCACAACACCCCCCTGCATCCTCCTGTCCCCCCAGCGCCTCCCTGCACCCCCCAGCCATGGCACCTCACCTTCCCTGCCAGCACCAGCAGTCCCGTGTCGGCGTCGTACAGCGGGATGGTCACCCTGCAAGGGAAGAGGGGTGCTGAGCCAGGGGCCCCCGTGGGAACAGCACTCCCATGGATGTGGGGCTGGATGTTGTTCCTCCACTGGTGCACACCCCAAACCCCATCCTGGGGCAGCGTGGGGCAGGATAAGGCCACGCTGCGATGGGAGGGCAGCGCCGTGCCCGGGGGTGCAGGTGCCGGGCCGGTCCCCAGGTGACGACCCTCGCTGTCCCAGCCCGGGCCGACAGGTTGACAGCAGGATGTCACTGCCGCCTGCTTCCAGCCCCGGCTGCGCAGTGCCCAGCCGTGGGGCATCCCGCTCCTTGCCCTGCTCCCGGTGCCCGGCCATGGCACCCGGCCTCACCCGGGGAAGCTCCGGGCCCGCGGGGCTGCCCCGGGGCCGGCCGGGCCGGCTTGGCCAGTTCGGGGCGTCGGTGCCAGCTGCAGCGTGTCCCTGTCCCTGCCCTGCACCCTGCCCCAGAGCGCGCAGGGTGGCCGGAGGGGACCGCAGGGAACACTCGGTGGCCTGAGGGGACAGCGGTGAGAGGAGCACAGAGACACTCCGTGCCTTCCCTCGGCAGGGCTGGAGGAGGGAGCGCCGCGGGCAGAGACCAAAGGGACAATCTATTACTTTCGGTTGACGTTTCTGTGGCTGTGCCAAGGGGAGGGAGCTGCTCCATGCCATGAAGGGTATCTGCGGGTGGTTTGGCATGGGCCTGCCCCGGAACTGTTGGCACAACCTAGGCAAACACTGCCAGGATGTCCGGGACAGGCACCGGGGTCCCCTGCCAGCAGCATAGATGTGCAGGTCTGGGACTAGGGCACCCTGAGTGCCTGGCTGTCCCAGCCCAGCCCATGCCATCCTCACCATGCCAAATAGGGAGCATTGCTCTGCCGTCACAGGGGCATGCAAGGGCCACCCACTTTCCCCCTGTCCCCTGGGACTCGGTGGCAGAAGCTCTGTGGACGCCAGAGGCATGGGGGGACTGGGATCCCAGGGCACTGGGGCTCATCGGTGCCAGAGTCCCTGGTTACCCTGGGCACAGTGGATATGGGAGCCCCTGGGGGTGCCAAGGACACCCAACCCAGCCTTTTTTGTTACCAGGGTCGCCAGGGGTCCCATGGGTGCTGGGGATACAAGGGAGATACTTATACCTGGATCTAGCCCTACACCTGTGTGTACACACACCAGGGGTGCTGGGATCCCAGGGACCCCGGCTCCAGGGAGGCTGAAGGTCCTGGGGGGCCCTGGAGGGTTTGGAAGGTCTGGGAGCTTCCAAATGTCCTGTGGGTCCTGGAGATCCTTGTGACTCTGGGGAATCCTGGGGTCACATGGAGCTCCCAAGAGGTCCCAGAGGTCCTTGTGACTCTGGGGAATCCTGGGGTCATGGGGTCTGGAGGTCCCTGTGGAGGCCTCTGGGATCTTTATGACTCCCATGTCCCAGAGGTCCTGGAGGTACTGGGGGCCACTGACTCAGAGGTCCTGGGTGCCCTGATGGTCCCTGTGACTCTGAGGTCCCAGATGTCCTGGGTATCTCAGGGTTCCCTGTGAATCAGAGATCCTGGATATCCCGAGGGTCCCCGTGACTCCAAGGTCCCAGAGGTCCTGGGGGTCCAGGGGGTCCCTGTGACTCAGAGCTCCTGAATGTCCCAGGGACATTGTGCCTCCAGGGTCCTGACGTGTCCCTGTGACTCCAGGGTCCCAGGTCCTGGATGTCCCAAGGGTCCCCGTGACTCCAGAGTCCCAGAGGTCTTGGATATCCCGGGGGTCCCCGTGACTCCAGGGTCTCAGGGGTCCTGGATGTCCCGGGGGTCCCCGTGACTCCAGGGTCCCGGTGGTCCTGGGTGTCCCGGGGGTCCCCGTGACTCCAGGGTCCCGGTGGTCCTGGGTGTCCCGGGGGTCCTGGGTGTCCCGGGGGTCCCCGTGACTCCGGGGTCCCGGTGGTCCTGGGTGTCCCGCGGTCCCCGCGCTCGGGGGGTCCCGGGGGTCTCCGCGGTGCCGCCCCCGTCGGGCCCCAGGTGAGGGGGCGGAGCCTCCGTGGCGGCCGTGCCCCGCCCCGCCCCCTCCGTGCTCCCAGCCAATGGGCGCCCGGCGGGAGGGCAGGCCCCGCCCCCTTGGTTTAAATGCCGCCCCCCGCGCCCGGCGCCGCCAGAGAGGGGAGCGCTCGCTCGGCCGGCGCTGCGCTGCCGCCATGGACTGACCGCCCGCCCCGCACGGCCCCGCACCGCCCGCCACGGTGAGTCCCGCGGCGCCACACCGCCCATACTCCACACGGTCACCGGGGCTCTGTGGGGCGGCAGCCCACGGGCGGGAGGGGGTCTGCCGGGCATCCGCGGGCTCATGGGGCGGGGGGGCCCTGGTGGGCCGGGGCCGGGCCGTGGGACACCCGGTGTGGCCTGTGCACCCGGAGTGACAGAGTGTCACCGGGGCCTCGGCTGAGGGTCGGCATGGCCTGCTGCCTGCGAGGCCTCAGCTGAGCCAGGGGCACCCGGCTGGCCCCTGCCTCGGCTGATGTAGGGCCTCGGCTGGGCTGGGGTGGTGCCACTGCAGTGGGCTGGGACGGGTTCACAGAAGGCTCTCACTTCCCTGTCCCTGCCGCATGTTTTGCCATGGGATGCGCTGGGGTCTGCCCCTGGGATCCTGGTCTGGTGCTGCATCCATCACGGGCAAGGGGAGGGATGTATTTGGGGCTGACATGGAGCATGGCTCCATCCGGCATGGCCAGGTGGCAGTGAAGCGCTCTGCCAGCAGAAGGGCTCCAGACCCACACGGGACCAGCATGGTGTTGGGCCATGCTCGCTCTGTCCTGGCAGATGTGATGGCTGGGCTCTCCTGCTGGCGTCAGGCAGAGGTGGGAGCTGCTGGCAGCAGTGTCCACCACCACCCCCTTCAATGGAGGGCTTGGCTGGGGTGGGGTTTGGCTGCCCTTGTTCTGCTTGTCTTCAGGGGCTGCTTCTGGTGTCACTGACCTGCTCTGGGGCCAAGTGGGTCCCCATGCGGTGGCGACAAGGGTTTCCCTGTGGCTGGCACAGAGGGATGGGTGCCAGCAGGGTCACCGGCCAGCCTGGCACCGGGAGACATGGATACCCCACCGCTGCTTCTGCTGCCAGCTGCCCGCACGCTTCATTGTCACCTGGCGTGAGTTCTGAGGTTGCTGGCGCCTGTCACCCTCTTTCGGTGTGACTTTGGGCCACTGTGGGGTAAATGTCCCTTTCTGCGTCTGGTTCCCTCCCAGGCTGGCAACAGCCACAGGAGCCAACACATGCCAGCAGAGATGCTCCAGTTCTGAGACTCTTCCCAGCCAGATCCCCCCAGTAACATCCCCCCATACACCTACCCTTGCCAGCGTGCCCCACACCCACAGGTCTCATCCAGCTGGGGCTGGGGCGGCCGGACTGCCCTGGCCCAGCTGTGCCTCTGCCCACACGGCGCTGGGCAGTGCCGCCACCAGGGATGACACTAATGACTGTTTTCCCCCGCCACGCCGAGGCCGGGTGGCCCTGTCGCAAGCGCCGCCTGCCCGGCTGGCTCTGCCGGAGGGACGCGCACGAGGAAGCGCTCGGGGACAGCCGCGGCCGCCCCAGTCACTCCGGAGGAATCTGCCCGTGCCGCCCGGGCCACGCGTGGCACCATCGCCGGCCTCCTCCCACCCTCCGCCGGCGTTCCGGCTCCTCCCGAGGCGGTTTGGCTGCCGGCAGAGCGGCTCTGCTGGTTTTTCTCCTTGCCGGCACCTGAGATGGGGAGCGCGGCCGGGTCAAAGGGGCAGGAGCGGGGATGGAGGGGCTGGCGAGTGCTCCGGGGAATGCAATAACCAGGCCTGCATTCCTGCGGGGCTGCTGCGGAAACTTTAATTAAATCGGGAGGGGAGCGGGAGGAGGTGGGAGCTGCGGCGGCGCAGGGTGGGTTGAAGGGGAGGAGGATTAAGGGCTTAATTCTGCACATCCCCCCGGCTGGCTCGGGGGAGGCGGCACGTGCTGACATCGGCTTGTTTTGAGGGGTGTAAGGCAGGGGAGGAGCATCTGCATCCCCCCTGGCAGAGGCACTGTGTCCCTCCCTGTCACCGCACACTGCAGGGCCCCCGTCCTTCCTGCTCTGGTGCCACCGACCAAGGTGGCAGCCCACGGGCCAGCAACAACGCTGGCTTTGTTTGTCCTCGCTTGCCGGTGCGGGAAGGAACATCCCGGCTGTGCCTGCTTCCCGGAGGTTCCCAAGCAGAGAAAGGCAGGGACTCTGCAGCTCCTCCAGCCTGTCCTGCACAGGTGTCACCCTGCAGTGTGGCATCGGCCTCGTCCTTAAAAACAGGAGGCGGGTGCAAAGCCGGGCATCCCCTGCCGAGTGCCGGCCCCGGGCGGGCAGCGGGGCGGCCCAGCCCGGGGGCTGCAGGCGGGGAAGGGGGTGACACGGCACTCCCACCCCAGCAGGCTGGCAGGGGAAGGCTGAGCCGGGACCGGGGGAATCTGAGCCCAGATTCTCCCCGCAGCCGGAAAATATGAATAATTCGGCAAATATCTGCGGTGCAGGCGCGGGGGAGCCCAGCCAAGGCAGCAGCAGGCTGCTGGCAGGGCGGCCCCAACACCTCCAGCAGAAGCGGGGCCCCCTCTCCGCCCTTGGGGACCCTGCCAGGAGCTGGGGAAGCTGTTCCCCTGTCCCCCCGGTTCTGGGGGTGTCCTGGGCTGGGGTGACTCCTCTCTGCCTTGAAGCACCATGGTGCCGGGGAGGCGGCGCGGGCGGGATGTTGGCGTGTGCCGGCGGAGCGGGCGATGCCGAGGGGCCGTGCCAGCCTGCCCGGCGCTCGTGGCCGGGCGCGGATCGCGGCCGTGGCCGGGCTGGCCGAACCTGCCCGGAGCCGGGAGCCTGGCAGACGGGGAGGAAATGCCAGCGTAATTAAAGGGACGAGAGAGACTTGGAGTCAGCAGCTGGTTGCAGCACGGGACACGTCAGCGAAACCCGACCCTGGCATTGCAAAACCAGCCCCGGCCCCGCCAGCATCCCGCAGTCCTGGCCCCGCTCGGGCGCTGCCCACCCGGGTGGGCTGGCACTGCCGTGGCACCGCTGGCATGAGAGTACCCTGCACCCGGGGCTCTGGATGCTGGAGCCACCTCGAGGGGTGCTGGGTCTGTCCCCAGCCCCAAACAGCACTTCACAGGGTCCCTGTGTTGTGTTTTCAACTCTGCTGGCAGCCTGACTGTGATGTGGGGTGCAGGGGTACCCGACATTGGTGAGGGGGCTGGGGGCTGAGCTGGGCTTGCTGGGGAGGGGATGCAGTGATGGTGACCCTTGGGTGACAGTGACCTCTTGGATGTGGCACAGCTCCTCCCCAGTGTCAGGGGCTGACGGCACGGGTCATGTCAGGGCAGGGCCAGCCAGGCCAAGTGACTCAGGCGGTTGTGGTGACCCTGCCCAGCCGTGGGCTCACCCCACCCTGGGGGGGGCGGCTCGGGAAGAGGCAAGGACAGAGCTGGCCGCAGTGTTAACCCTGTCCAACACCCCGGCAGGGGGATGAGAGGACACAGCACGGGTCCAGACCCTCCTGGCGCTGGATGTGTTGTCCCTGCGTCGGCAGCACGTGCTGCTGTGTGACCTGCAGCCCCCCACACACAGCGGGGCCCCTTGTGAGCCGCAGGGGGGGCGTTTGCCTGGAGCTCCGACAGCTCTCAGCAGGGAGGAGGTGGCAACAGAAGGGGCTGGGGAAGGGTTTGCCTCTTTCTTGCCCAGGGATCCTTCTCTGCCACCTCCCCCTGACCCTGAGATGGAGTGGCAGGAGATTGTGAGTCTTTGGCCCAGCCTAGTGTCATTAAAAGGGCTGAAAGATGGGGCTAAGAGAGGAGCCCTTTGGGACATTGACAGCAGCTGTGACATCTGCCAGGGCATCCATGGGGAGCTGGGGTTGGGGTGGTTACAGCCTTGGTCACCCCAGAGCCTCCTCCCTCCATCCCTACTGACTCAGTCCTCAAGGGACAGGGGCACAGCCCACAGTGCTGAGAACAGTAAGGTGATCCGTGAGGACAGGGGCTGAGTGGGGGTGAATATGAGCCCCTGGACTCTGTGGGGACACAAATGGCTCCTCCAGCCCCAATCTCTGTGCCCCTGTCCCCAAGAGGGGTTGCTGTTGCTGGTGCTCTGGGCAGGAACAGCCCCCGAGGGTGCAGCTGCTGGACGGCAGCACAAGCAAAGGGTTAAGCTGAGCTCTACTCAGGGGAGGCCGGCCAGGCTCCCACCCCTTCCCGGTGCTCTGATTCTCGTCCCCTGTGTTTGATTTGCACCCTGCTGAGCAGCTGGGGAGGTTGGGGCCCTTGTGAGTACTGGGAAAGGTCTTGGTGCTCCACCGAAGACAGCCCCAATACCAGTGGGACGTGTCTCATGGCAGAGCCTGGGGTGTGCAAAGGTACCACATCCCCAAATCCGGGGGGATCTGGGGAGGGGAGAGCATGGAGCTGGGATGGGCAGCCCCTGTGCTGGTGGGTAGTCCAGGAGGCAGAGTGGGGTTCAGAGGTGCCCCACAGCCCTGCTAGCTCTGGGTACCCTGCAGCAGGGCCCATCCCCTAACCCTGACTGTGCTCGTCTCTCCGCAGAGCTGACACCATGAACCAGCTGATCCTTTGCACACTGCTCCTCTTGGCCGGTGGGGAGCTGGTCAGGGCATGTCCTGCAGGCTGTCAGTGCCATGACCCCAAGACCATCCTGTGTGCAGCCAGGCGGGGCCAGACAGTGCCCCAGGGGCTGCCCCCCAGCACCCTCTCCCTCTATGTCTTTGAGAATGGCATCACAACGCTCACTGAGGACAGCTTTGCAGGGCTGCCCGCCCTCCAGCTCCTGGACCTCTCACAAAACAAGATCACCAGCATCCAGAGAAACATCTTCCAGCCCCTGACGGAGCTCGTCAACTTGGACTTGTCCTCCAACCAGCTGCAGGAGATCACCAATGAGACCTTCCATGGTCTGCGGCTGCTGGAACGGCTCTACCTGCAGAGGAACAGCATCCAGCACATCCACGCTGCTGCCTTTGACACGCTGGAGAATCTGCTGGAGCTAAAGCTGCAGAACAACCAGCTCAGGGCTGTGCCTCCACTCGACCTGCCCAACCTCCTGCTGCTGGACATCAGCAGGAACAAGATCCCTGCCATTGCACCAGGGGCTTTCCATGCCGTCAGCATTGAGTCCCTGAAGATCGCAGGGCTGGGCCTGACGAGTTTAAATGAGGAGCTCTTCCAGGTCCAAAACAACCTCCACGAGCTGGACATCTCTGACAACCTGCTGGAGCGCGTGCCAGCGGTGCTGCGGCGCCTGGGCAGCCTCACCAGGCTCAGCCTGGCTGGCAACGCCCGCATCTCCCAGCTGCCAGCTGAGGACTTCCAGAGCCTCCACAACCTCCAGGAGCTGGACATCAGCAACCTCAACATCAACACCATCCCTCGGGATTTCTCCGGCTTCTTCCCCAGGCTGCGAGCCGTGACGGCTGCCGGCAACCCCTTCAACTGTATCTGCCAGATGAGCTGGCTGGTGCAGTGGGTCAACACCAGTGGTGTGGTCCTGCGGCGCCCTGAGGAGACGCGCTGCCACTTCCCCCCAAAAAACTCCGGCAAGCTCCTCCACCACCTGCAGTACACTGACTTTGGCTGCCCCACCACCACCCCCACGCCCACCACACCCCGCACAACCACGCTGCCACCGCCTGCGCCGCTGCCCAGCACCCACCGCCCGCCGCCACCCCCCAGCACCGCTGCACCCACCCTGAGGCCCAGAGAGCCCCAGGGCAGCTCCACCTTGGTGCCCTTCAGCGGCACCCCGGCCCCCACCAGCCCCCCAGCGCCCATCTGTCCCCCTCGCACGTGTCTGAACGGTGGCACCTGCCACCTGGGTGTCCAGAACCTCCTGGAGTGCCTGTGCCCCGCGGGCTTCAGTGGCGTGTACTGCGAGGTGGAGGCGAGGGGAACGACGGCAGCCCCGGGCACGCCGGCCCTGCCACCCGCACAGCGGGTCAGCATCGCCCAGGTGGGCAGCACCTCCCTCAAAGTGGACCTGCACAACTACATCCAGTCCAAGGCGCAGCTGAAGGGCATCCGCCTGAGCTACCGGAACCTGTCGGGGCCGGACAAGCGGCCGGTGATGCTGCGCTTGCCGGCCTCGCTCTCCGAGTACACGGTGCGGGCGCTGAAACCCAACTGCACCTACCGCATCTGCATCGGGGCGCTGGGGGAGCTCCCCAAGGAGGAGCACTGCGCCGAGGCACACACCCTGCCCCTCAGCCTGCAGCAGCACTCCCCTGTCACCCAGAGCCAGGACCCCAACCTCGCCCTGATCCTCGTCCCTGCGCTGGCTGCCATGCTGCTGCTGCTGGTGGTGGTCACCGCCGCCATGTACTACTGCCGGCACCGCCGCGCCAAGGCGCACGCCGGCGCCGGGGTGGACAGCGGCCCACTGGAGCTGGAAGGGGTGAAAGCCTGCCTGGAAAATGGGGATTTGAGCAGCCACGGCTGCAAGGTGCCAGAGGCAGCGATGCTTTCTGGCGGCTCTGAGTGCGAGGTGCCGCTCATGCAGTCGCACTACCCCAGCAACAACAACACCCCAGGGCTCAAACCCTCCTACTTTTGAACCCACAGGGTTTCCAGAGCCCTGGACGCAGGAGGGCTGAGCTCCAGCGGCACACCTGGCCATGTCCCTCTGGGATACGGATTGGCGAGGAGCTGACTGAACTGAGGCAGTAACCCCCCATCCCACAACGTGCAATTTCCGAGAGGCTGCCACGCTTTGGGAGGAGACACGAATTTTACTGCTCTGTGCCTTGGTTTCTGTGACTCTACCTAGAACGTGGGTAGCGGAAGAGAAGGGGGGGTTACTTTGGGGGTTGGGGGGCTTTTTTTAGCTCCTGCTAAAGAGAAAGCTGCTGTGACTGGGCTGAGGGAAGCCCACGTGCTGGTAACAAGGGTCCTTCAGCAGAGCACGGCCCATGACTCGACTCCCTGGAAGCTTGATGTGAGCATTACGGCCCGGCCGAGGTGCTGGGACCCTCGGGACACCCCGGGCCAAAGGAAGAGCCGAGCAGGCAAACCGGGAATTGAAGCTTTAAGAACTCAGAGAGAATATTTATACATCATTATTTCCCATTTCTTCTGGGAAAACTTTTTTTAGTACAGGTTTGTGTACATCTCTTTTGTAAGGCAGATCAGAAGGGTGTCTTTTTGTAAAAAAAAAAAAACAACAAAATAATTAAAATAACAACAACAAAAAGTTCTGTGCAGCCCTGAGCACCTCGGCAGGCACTGCCCATTGCAGGCAGGGGTGTGGGCAGCGCCCGCGTCCCCTGCAGAGGAGCGGGAAGGTCAGCTGTGTCCTCCCGTTGTTGTTGGCGAGCACCGGGGTGAGTCAGGCCAAGGGAGGGGGGAGTTTTCCCGACTCCAGGCGTTTTTACCCCTAGGGCGCTGCCCCCCACCTCGGGCGCTGGGGAGGTGTTCCCAAAACAGAGGCCACGGGGTTCAAATCAGCCCCTGCCCTGTGCATCATCCAGCCTTACTTCATCCCTCCCTGCCTGCCAGATGGCTGCGGGGCCAGCTGCGGGACAAACAGCCCAGCCCAACCTCCTGACGTCACCCGCGGCGGCACCGGGACCCCCAAATCGCCCGTGACAAGTGTCAGCCTGCGTGGCCCCCTGGGCCGGGGGCCGCAGCCGGAGCCCCGCTGCCCGGCCCCAGAGCAGCCGCTTTTGTGCGCTGGCCCTGGCGGGGTGGGAGCCGACACTCGGCAGGTTCCCGCTGCCAAGTGGTTTCTGCTCCAACCCTCTGGTTTTAATCGTTTTCCAATCCTTTATCTTTCGGGCTGGAATTTTCCAGGTTGGGGCCCTGCCCGCCGAGGTATGTTTGATTTGGAGAGAATGAGCGCAGCGCGGGGCCGAAGCCGAGGGTCACCGCCGTGCCGCTCCGGGCCGGCCGCTCCGCCGCAGGCCTTGGCCCTGACCCCCGGCCCCTCGGTGCCGCTCGCCTGGGGCAGGGAGCGGCTCTGGATGCAATTAGGGGCGCGGGGCGTCGGCGGGGCCGTCTGGCGCAGCCCCCTGGCTCCCAGGTGGGCTTCCGGCAGGGCTGGCTCCCATTAGGGCCGGCGCAGCGGCAGCAGGGGCCCCTCGCCGGCGCGGGCGGCTCGCTGCGATGGCCACGCTCGCTCGCTCAAAGGGCCCATTGTGGTCCTCTCCCCACAGATTTTTCAAATTAACATCCCAAATTCCTCCCAAAATTGCTGCTGTGTAAATATTTTCACTGTGAGCTTTGTATATTTTCCAGCCTCGCGAGGAGGAGAGAAGAAAAGTCCCTGGCAGAGCCGCGGCCTCGTGCCGGGTGCCCCCGGCCGGCCGCCGCCACAGCCCCCCGAGCCCTGGCGTGTCCCCACGGTGGCACTGGCGTCAGGACCCTCCAGCCCCTCCTGGCTCCTCACTTCCCTGCTCCTTTGCCTCCACTATGTGCCCTTCCCCTAACAAAGCCTATTTCCCCACTTGCAAGTAGCTGAAGGTTTGCAGGGGACCCCCCCATGCCAAGTGTGTGCTGGGGACCCCTTGGCACATCAGCTGATCCCATTGTTCTGGAGGGGCTTCCAACAGCTCCGGAGTGAGGGAGCTCCAGTGGAGATGCCAGGAGGGCAGAAGCAAAGTTAGGGCTCAGCTTTGGCAGGTGCAGCACCCCTGTGACACCCTGGGCCGGAGATTTTTGGGGTGCTGGCTGCACGAGGGGGCCAGCAGGGCTCAGCCTTGGCACGGCGGTGATGGGGATGCTACAGCCAAGGCAGGGCTTGGCCCCGACCCACAGCCACATCTGCACCCAGGCAGCCCTGCGGGACAGCAGCAGTGCCCAAAGTGGGACTGTCCAGCCCCTGTGGCTTCCTGAATCCCAGCACAAAATTCCCCTGGCCACTGCCAGCCCCGTCGCACGCCAAGAGCCACTCCAAGAGCGGCACATCGTGCGGCGCTGCTAATTCCTGTGAGCTGAATCAGCGCCGACAAGGATTGCAAAACCCCCTGAAATGGACCCAAAACAAATCTCTCTCTCTGTGCGATCCAGCGGGGCCGGTAAGCGAGAGCCCCGGCCAGAGCCACCGGCAGGATGGGGGCTTGGCGGGGAGCCACAACGGGAGGAGCCGCCGGCTTCACCGGGGCAAATCCTGCCTGCACCCTGATGTGGCAAGGCTGGAGGGCTCTGGTCTCCCAGAAATCACCCCTGGTCCCAGGCATGACCCCAGGTCCCTTGGGTTCCCCAGGTCTCCAGGTCTGGAGCAGAGCCCCGAGGGGTCATGGCTTGGTGCCAGGGGTCTGGATGCCCAATCTCAGGCGTGTGCCCATCACACTGACCCCAGTGCTGCCAGGAAGAGCTTTGGAGCTCATCATCTTCCCGCAAAGCTGGGGAGGCCAGGAGCACCGTGTGGCCGAGGCTGTGGCTCATCTGGGAGTGATTTGGGCGCTGCCATCCCGCCCCAGCGCTGGGCTATTTTTACCCAGTGGAATTACGGGACAGGCGACATGGGCTGGGTGGTTGCCTCGCCTTAACCCCTGCATGTGGCTGCCCATGGGGATGGGTCCCACTGGGGTGACACCTGATGGGGTGGGGTGGCCTCTCCCCTTCCTTGTGTCTGAAGGTGGGGCAGGAAAAACTCTTTCCCACTGATGGCAAGCACATGTCAACCCAGGCATCTCTGGGATCTGCAGGGCGATGAGGACAGGAATGGACCTGGCCTGCTCAGGGTTCTTCCTGCTGGGGTGGGTTTTTTCAGAGACCCTCAAAACACCTACCATGACCCAAAAGGGCTACTGAGCCCCAGGAGAAAGCAGTGCAGAGGATGCCAGGCAGGACAAGAGCAGGTCCCATTCCAGCTGGTATGTGGGGAGAGGTTGCAGGGAGACAGTGGGAACGTGTGCCTCGGTGGTGTTGGGTGCCCTGCTGCTGGGAGATGTCAGGGCTGCAAGCCTGACCCTGGGAGCTGTTTCAGCCACAGGCTTTGGCAGGGGCAGGGGTGGGTGTAAGGGACTGAGTCCCCCTGGGCAGTGCCCCCAGGGGACCACCTGGGCCCCTCTATATCCTGCTCCAGCGCTGGGGGAGCCAAACAGCCCCAAATCCCTCCACAAACATCCTGCTGTGCCAACTCCCTGCTACAGACAGGTCCCGGCACCAGCACCTCCTGGCTCTGTCAGACTTTGTATCGTGAAGGGTGGTGAGGATCCAGCTGTCCCCATCCCTCAGCCCCACCACCATCCCACCCTGGAGGGACATGCCCACTGTTGGAACACACCACGGGGACCTCTGCTGACCCAGTCATCTCTTCTCTACTGATCCAGCCCTAGCCCTGAGCCGTGGCACCCCAGCCTCCCTGGGGACGTTTTCAGGACGTTGAAAGAAGCGGTGATGCAAGGAAGCCGCTGCTCTCCTGTCACCATGGTGGTGACAGTCCTGTCCCCGGGCAGCGCTGCGCCGGCCGCCGGGCGTGCGGCAGCGGGGTCTGGTCGGTGACCCCAAGTCGGAGCTGGTAACCCAACCCCGCTGGTGCTGGTTACAATTTAGGGCAACAATGACCTATTGAGGCCCCTTCCTGGCTCCTGCCCTGCTGCTCCTTGATCTAATTAAAGGGGGCCAGGCAGGGACAAAACCCGAGCTGAAGGTACAGCAGGTATGCAGGGGTGGCACACTGAGGACCAAGATGCAGAGAGGGGCCATGGCCAACCTGCACCTCCCACCTCGTGTTCCCTCAGCGTCTGGGCATTGGTGGGGTCAGCTCTTAAGCATGGCCCTGACATGCTTTGAAAATGATGTTTGCGTGGTCAGCAGTATCTCACGTGCCCAGGATTTGGGAAAGAGAACCCCCAAATGGCCCATGCTGATGTGGAGGTCCATGGGGCCGGTGCCTCCCACTCTCTGCCCTCTTCCAGGGATGCTGGACAGGGCACAGACAAGCCTGAAGGGTTCAGTGTTGCTGCAGGCATTGGGGTGAGCTCACTGGGGTGTCCCCCACCTTGGGGCCCGCCACGGCCCTGCTTTGGGGTGCCGTGGGGACGCGTGGTGCCGGCTCGGCGGGCGCGGTGGGGATGCGGTGGGGATGCGGACTCCCCTTCCTGCCGGCCTGGCGTCAGTAATGAATGGTATGAGTTTCCTGCCCGCCCACTGATTGCTTCCTCAAAGAGCTTCAACGAGCTGCTGCTGCTGCTGCTGCCGCCCCCCACGCCCCGCTCACGGCCCGGCCGGCACCGCTGCACTGCCCAACACAGCCCCGTGCCCCACTGGGCACCCACGGCCACGCCGGAGATCCACAGCCAGCCCCGCTGCTGCTCGGCCATCCCCGGGGACTCTGTCCCTCTGTCCCCCAGTTCTAAGCCTGCCCCAAGCAGATCTGGTGACCCCAAGACCATCCACCCCGCGCCCTTGCCGCGGCTCCACGGCTCCGGAGTGTCGCGGCCGTGCTCGGGGCGGCTGTGCCGGAGGGAAAACACGGCCCCAGCCCGGCACCTCCGCCGGGAGCCAGCCCAAATCCCCCTCCGCCATTTGTCATCTCCGCCAGATTTACAGGCGGGAGCGCTTGGGGCTGGGGGCGCGGTGGCCCCGGCTGCCTAAATCCAGCACCTCCCC